ATTGAGACTGCAGTCCTCCAAATTCCCCAGATTTTTCCCCCATACAAACTGGTGTCTCAACATGCCTCCCTCATTTCATACTTTGAAGCTGAATTTTAGGACCTAATTGTAAGCTTTTACATTTATCCCTATTGGATTTCATCTTATTAAGATTGCCTAATGTTGTCACCTATCAAGATCTCTTTGGAGCTTGACTCTGTCATCCAGTGTCTCAGACATTGCATCCTGCTTCATGCCTTGGTCATAGAGGGCAGGAATAGAGCCAATGGATAAATTGCAAAGAGGAAAATTTAGGTATGATGGAAAGAAAAACTTCCCCACATGAGAGCTCTCTGAAAGTGGGATGGGCTGAATCAGTAGAAACCAGATGTCTTTTCACTAGCAGTCTTTGGGTAGGGGATGGGGATGTTGCAAAGCTCCATTTTAGGTGCGAGTTGGACTAGATGTCCCCTGGCATGCCTTTTAATTCTGATATTCAAACTGCAATTCTGTGAAGGTATGGGTAACTAAGAAGTGAGCTTCTTATCTTGCTGATTATTTCTCTTTGTTGTTAGCATCTTTTACTACTGCTGGTACTCTGAGTATCAAATGCAAATCTATGCCATGGAGGCATGCCATGTCAGATGACTACTAGATTCCTTTTGTCCATGAACTAGGAAATGATGTTAGTGTCCACTGAGAGCCAGAAATATCTCAAAAGCTTGATGAATGAGCTCTACCCTTCCTTTGGCTGGGAGCTTTGAACATAATTCAAGTAAAATGTTCCCTGCTATCATGCTGGTATCATGCTCATTCACAAGTGTTGGGTCAGCTGTTAGTAACTTAATTCTCCAACTCCTTACCTGCTGCCTCTGTGGTTTTGGAACTCAGAGACAAATGCTGAGTTCAGATTCAAGACTTTGCTCTCTCTGGCCAGGAACTGAGCAACACCAAGCAGATCCAAAGCTGGAAGGGACCTTAGGAGTTGACTACTCCAACACTCTTATTTTACAGAAAAGGGGACTTAGGAGTAGAAAGGCTACATAACTTGATAAAAGTGTTGCTGGTAATAAATGCCAGAGCAGAGAATTGAACTCAGGTCATAGGATCTTAGATCTAGTACTGGAAGGGAACTTGGAGGTCATTATCTAGCCCAACCCCCTCATTTTACAGATGGAGAAACTAGGGCACAAAGGAATTAAGTGAGACCAGAGTCACATAAATAGTGTCAGAGGTAAAATTAGAACCCAGATCTCTGGACTCCAGGGACAGTGCTCTTTCCCTATACCATCTTGAAGAAATCTTAGCTTCTTTCAAAAAACAGCTGAAGTGTCACCTCCAAAGAAGGCCCTTTTTAACTCTTCAAGTTATTGGTAGTTGCCACCTCCCACTTTGCAATGTCATTTTGTATTTACTCATCTGTGCATCTGTTACTTTATTCCAGTAAAATGGAAGCTCATTGAAGGCAAGGACTATTCATTTTTGGCTTCATGTTTCCAGCATGTAGCACAGCCTAGAATATATTATGTGCTCAGTGAAGATGAATTGAATTTAATCTCTATGATCATTCACTTGGTTCTCCAGGGATGAGGAGAGGTGGGGCTGATAACTGTTGCAAAAGGCTGAAGTCTCATTCCATGGGAAGAAAATTAAATTAACACTATACTGTTTCCTAGATTTCCCTTTCTATGTCCTTGAGTTGAGCTCAGGAATCAGCTTTCCCTCTGAGTTGGTTTAAAGTTGTAATTAAAAGAAGAGTTGTTATCTCTCATACTGGTAACCCCTGGGTTACATCCAGGACATCTGTTTGTTATTGTTAAGCCCCACAAGTTAATTTGGCATTGTCGCCAAAAGATATGTCATCTGTCCTTGCCTGTCTTTGTGCAATTAGAGGAATTTTTTTTTCTTTTTCCAAGAAGACAGCAAGTCTGGTAGTTTGGATTCCCTAGCAATGAGTACAACATGCAGATCCCATAAAACAATTAATATTGTGTAATTGTCAGAGAGGGGCAGTGATTAACTTCACATGAATGCCAGCCCACCTTTCTTAGAATAGTCAATCATAATGTTTCTGCCCCAACCCTACCACCTGTCACTTTTCTCCATGTCTACCAAGACCCCTTCTTTGTTGTGTGTAGGGTTTCCTTTGCTGAGGTTGCCAGTCTGACTCACTTTCTTAACAGTTATAGGTCACTGTTAAGCTGATTGTGCTCAGAAACTGATACCTAAAATTTCAAATACAATACATGACTTCTGTGGTAATGATTTTAAGCCTCTTAATAAGTTACAAAGTTTAATGAAGGTAAATATTGACAGGAGGCCTTTCCCCAGGAGAGTGTGTAGTCCATGAGGCATTCAATTGTAGAAACTGCTTACCTTCTTCTGAAGTCGTGTGATCTACCCCAAAGAATGTTGAATGTGAAGTTACAGAAACTGAATCCACATTCCAACTCTGTGTAAGAAGAGTGACTGTGCTAGTGGAAAGTGGCCATATAAAAAATATAATGAAGGTAGAACCAATAACACTTGACAATTAATTGGGAGTTGAGGATGTCTTTGAGCTTGGGAACCTTGGTGACTGACGGGACAGTGTCTTTAGCAGGAATAGAAAAATCTGGGAAGGGGGTCTTTCAGGGTGAAGGAAATGAATTTTGCTTTGCACATGTGCTTGAGATGCCTTATGGGTCATGCTAAGATCCTACCTTTTGCAAGACAGTTTTCTCAGCTCCCCCTTTTTAAATAAGGTTTTATTGATATTTTCTGTTTCTTATATCTCCATAATATCCCATGTATCTCTCCCTCTACTCCTCCTAGGGGGTCATCCCATATGACAATAGTATTTTTGGAGAGAAAAAAAAGTCAGCATAACTGATCAATACATTGAAAAAGTCCAAAAACACATGTAAGGTGCAACACCTGTGGATCTTTTACCTCCACAAAGATGTGAGTTGGGGGTGTCTTCTTATATCTCTTCATTCTTAATCCTGCTTGATCTTTGCAATTTTGCTAAATTTATCTTTGATTTTTTTGGGTGTTGTTTTGATTTTGATTTGGGTGTTTTGATTTTTTGGGTGTTTTGGGGGTGTTGGTCTTTTTATTTACATTGTTGTAGTTGCTGTGTATATTGTTTTAGATAAACTTGGTGCATAGGAATTTTTTTTCATCTCTTTAGTTTTATTTTGTGTGTTTTTGTTTTTGTAATGTGTTTCTCAAAATCAACAAATTTCTTATCCAATCTGTCACTCTTTTTCTTTTTGTTTGATAGTTTAAACCATTCATATTTAAAGTTATGACTTAGGTTTATACTTTCCCCCACTTGTCTCTAAAGTTATTTTTTTTCTCAAGTTAAGATCTTTTTCTTTCTTCTGCTGTAAACACAATCTTAGGTTTCTTCAGTTACTTTAATCTTTTTTTTTAGATGGTTTTGTTTCCACTGGCCCTCTTCCCCTCACCTCTGATTCCCCCTTCTAATTTGCTACCCTTTAGGGGTTTTGTTTATTAGTTCCTTTTTATCTCATGTTTTCATCTGGCTATATATGTCTTCCTTCTCTTTTTTTCTCAGATTTCCCCTTCCTGTCCTCCCCTTCAGCTACTCCTATTCATTAGTTTTATTTTTAAATTTCATTTTTTGTGCCCCTTTCCAAAAAGGATTTCTCTCACGTTCTTCATTATCTGTCTTCTACTTCTGTTTACTCCAGACTCTCATTCTCTGATTAATGACTCCTGCAATTGTCTCTTGTCTCTCTTTTCTCTGTATTCTCCATGTGATCAAAGCTTCCAAGATATCCCCCCTCTAGGCACTTTCTGCCACTGCCTTGGAGGGCTTGCCCCATGGATGCTCCCCTTTCCATTGTGCCTCACTCCCAGAACAATGTCAATTATTGCAAATATCAGAGAGGACAATGCCCCACAGTAGGGCTCCTTCCTGACAACTGACTTATGCCTTCTCTTGTTGACCATTCCCCCCCCCTCCACATTTGCTTGAAAAATCTCCTCCCTGCTTCCATGCTTTCCCACTCCTCCAGGTGCCAGTTGCCCCCAGGAATTCCAATTCCCTCCCTCCCAGGACCAGGAGACTTTTTAAGCCCCAAATCCTCAGGTCTCATTCACTGTAAGGTCCTCTTCTCCACCAACCATCTCTCTTCACCCATAAGAGGGTTCATCAGTGGAACCCCCTCCCACTTCCAAAGTAAGGCCTCTTTCCTTTCCTTCTCTTTCCAATCTTTCCCCCATCCCTTGTCACCCACTCCCCTGCAGACTTTATTCTTTCTAAGACTGGAGTGGTCACCTTCCCATCATTGGTAGCCCTTGATTAGACCCAGTGCATCACACATTTTTTTCTCTATCCCTTCCTTCTTCCTCCTCACCCCCGTCTCCTGCTCCATTCTTTTATATTTCCTTCTGTGTTTTAATGTAGTCACATAAGAAGCATTCACCTGTAGGCGGGGTGTTGCCAGGTTCTGTCCATAATGCCCCCACCTGCCTTTTCAATGTTATTGCTACCAGATTTCTGCCTTCACCCCTTGTCTCCTTATGTACATTTAGAAAGAAATCTCCTATTGGTCTCTGTTGCTGTCCTTGGCTGCATCATTTATTCACTCTTTCTACATTTCTGTTGTTTGAGGGTGTTCAAGAAGCAAACAACCTCTTCAGTTCTGGTTTTCCTTCTAAAAATGTTTCAAATTCTTCTTTATTATTGAATTGCCCAATATGGTTAAGTTCAGAATAGGTCACCCAGGGCCTGAACTCCTTTGCTTTATGGAACACATTATTCCATTCCCTCTTCCTTTTCTATGGAGTACAGAATAGTTTTGCATTATTCAAATGCTTTGTATTGGAAAGTCTTTTTCTGGTGGCCTGCAGAACTTATTGTTTGAGAATTGAATTGTTCAATTTAACCACTATGTGTCTTAGAGTTTGCAGCTTTGGATTTTTTTTCTAGAGGCCATATTATCTCTGAATTCTTTCCATTGTGATTTCATTTTCTATATTTAGGAATTCTCTTCTATTTTTTTCCCTCATCATGGTGTCAAGGTTTTTTGTCCTGTCATGTTCTTCTGGGAGACCTTTGATCCTTAGGTTTTCTCTGTGCATCTTGTCTTTGAGATCCATATGTTTTACTTGCATAGTGAACATATTTTCTTTTAATGTTCTTTTTTTTTTTTGCTTCTCTTCTTTTAGGTTGTCCTTCACTTCTGTGTTTTTGCATTCTCAATCTATTGTTTTCTCTTTAGTTTCTTTAGTGAGGCTTTCCATTGCAGATTTAAGTTTGTCTATTCTGCTTATTATTTTTGCTATGCAGGACATAAATTCTGTTCTCTTAATTCTCATTTCTCTTTACAACCACTTAAGAACAGCATGTTGTGTTTCCATGTTCTCCTAGACCTCAAAACGTCTCTGCTTCCTCCCACACAGGGCAATTCACAGTTCACTAGCCTAGGTGTCTGCTCCAACAGACTTTTGGGTAATTAGAACTGGCTTCAGCTGGATATTGTGCTCTTTCCTCAGGTTCAATGGAATGCTTCACTGGCCCCCATACTCAGGGTGTCCTGTCCTGGTGACCTGTCACGTTCTTTCTGTTTCTCAGTTTTCTGGTCCAGCAGTGCAGAGCCTGTTGTGGTTAATTCAGAGACTTGCACCCCACAGGAGACTTTTGCTCCTTGAAGGACTACGGCCAAACAGAATACTGAGCCCCATAAAACTTCTACAGCCCGGAGCCAGGGTTTCTACAGTATAGGAAAGAGGAAACGGGGATCAGGATGTAGGGATGGGTTTTGTCATGTCCTTAGGTCTGCTATTGCATCCTTACTGCTGGTAGTGAGGGAGGTAAAGAAGGGGTGAGTAAGCTCAGGGCCAGTGAATGTCAGCTCCTGGATTTTTGTGTTTGTTTGGTTTTTACCTTCTTTTGGGTACTAGATGTCCTAGACCATGGAGTTGCCTGAAGTTGCTTTATCTTTGGCATATAATATCCATTTTGGAGATGTTTGAGAGGTCATGGGGAAAGAAAAAAATATTTTGTTCGTACAAAGTTGTTTGCATGTTATCTCCTTCCAATACAATGTAGGGACTGTTTCTGCCTTTCTTTGCATACCCAGTGCTTAGCACAGTGCCTGGCCAGTAGTAATTAATAAGTATTTGTTGATTGATTGATATGCAGGTAGAGATTTTTAGCAGGTACTTGGTAATGTGGGATTGGAGCTCAGAGGAGAGATGCAGGTTTGATAAGTAGATTTTGTGGTCATCAGTGTAGAGATAATAATTAAACACATAGGAACTAGTGGGCTAACTGTGAAAGGATGAAAAGAGAAAGAAGAGAAGAGGGCCCATGTTCAGATACAGATAGGGGACAGGACGTAGAACATAGGATACTGAAAGGAAGAGAACCAGGAGAGAACTGTATCTTGAAAACCCAGGAAGGCAGGAGGATCTACGAAGAATAAATGGCCCACGCTGTCAAAAGCTTCAGAGAAGTAAAAAAAAATGAGCCATAGAAGAGTATGAGGCAGTTATTCTGCTACTCCAAAACTTAACTTCACCAACGTTTAGATAGGAGGACAGGGCATTTAGATTCATTCACTCCTGTACATTCAGAAGAGTGTGATAATAAGCAGTAAAAATTCTGTTTGCCTGACTGGAAATTTTGATTTGCTCACTGATTTTGTAAAGACCATGAAGTCAGCATTGGTAACAGCTGTATTAATAGTCTTTTGAGACCCCCACAGGGCAACACCTTAATTATAGAATCCTAGAAGAGGCCACTGGGAATCTTGGTGCCCTGAAAGAATTAATTCCAATGGGAGAGGAAGGGGTTAGTCAAGATCAGGGTTTGATTAACTGAGGAGACATTAGGGTCAATACCCAGTTACTGGTTGTGCTCCTAGCCTGGCTCATTTCCTTTCTCATTCTGGCAGATGGTATGTCAATCAATCATCAACAAGAATTTATTAATTGCTTACTATGTACCAGACAAAAAGATGACGGATAAGGCTCTCCTACCTTTGGCTGGTTGTACCAAATAATGTTGGAAAGTATAAAGATTCTTCCAAGGCCTTAATTCTAACTTGTCTGGCTTGTTGGAATATGTGTTATATCAGCCAACTCTGACAAATCATTATGTCAGAGTCCTGCCTAGACCCTTATTAGGATCTGTTGCTGGGTCTCACTAAAGAATTGGATGGTCCTGGGGCAGCTAGGTGGCACAGTGGATAGAGTAGAGCACTGGCCCTGGATTCAGGAGGACCTGAGTTCAAATTCGGCCTCAGACACATAACCCTTACTAGCTGAGTGGCCCTGGGTAAATCACTTAACCCCATTGCCTAGCAAAAAAACAAAACAAAGCAAAATAAACAAAAGAATTAGATGGTCCTAACAATGATGAAAACAATAGATCCCTTTATCTGGCATGTTGAAGGGAAGGCCCTGAGGAAAGTGACATATGGCTTCATGGGAGGTGACCTAGGGAGCAAGAGATAGGGATACAATACTTGAAGGGTATTAGGGCAGCCCACTCCCCTCCTTTACGCTGGGGTCAGGACTGATACTACCAAACAAGAGTGGCTGGAACTAAGTCCTCCACAATAGGACTGGTAAGAAAAGGGCACATATAGAGATATAACCCAGATACTGTAGTGTTCAGGTCATAGTAGGAAGAAAGAATTCATAATAGCATAGTAAGACACTACTCCTAGGACTTGGTACATTTTTATATCAGACTTCATTGGGACTTCTGGGTCCATGCTTTGGGGTAGGTAAGATAGCTTGGAAATCATGGTAACTCCAAGATCAGAGCAAACAGTTATCAAAATATTTCTTTAAAAATCTCAAGTTCTTGGACTCCAGGTTAAGGATCCTTGAATATGACCTACTTCAGGGATCATCACTATTACACCGTCACCTGTAAAATAACACAGGCAAGACCTCACAGACCAAGGAAAGATGAGAAAGAGCTAAAATGCTTCACGTTTGGGGAAGAATGATCTGACACATTTTTTTCTTCTTTATTAAATTCCCAAGTGAGATAGAAATCCATGGTAGGGATGGCATGAGAAGAGATGGAAATCTCCTGCCAAATTGGCTAAATTGTGAAAAGCAGGGAGATAATTGATATAATGGTGCATGCTATTCCAAAATGAGGAGAATTTTGCATAGGTGATAGGCTGCAAGTTTCACCAATCCTTGGTAAATGTGTTGTAAGTTTTTCAGTGAGTGGGAGAAAGGAGCCAACTGTCTTCGAAGAAATCCATGAATAAGAATGCAGTCCTTAATTAGGGAACCCCAAGGTTGATTTTTCCCCCCTGTTGCCTTCTTCTCTGACAGACAAATAACAAGAAATGAATGAGGTTGAGAGCAAATGAAAACCACATTGGAAAAGCAAAGCATATTCTAGCTTTTGGCTGAGCTGGTTGCAAAAAGTTAAGGTTCTTTAATCATCTGTTGGAGCCAAAGAATGCAATTTGGAGGGCGAGCCTGTGCACGCACATGCATACACACACACACACACACACACACACACACACACACTCTCATACACACAGCCTGTACCTCCCTCTCCCCCAGTACTCCCTTCCCATTCTTTCACTGTAGATAAAGCAAGATGGTGGGAACATTGTATAATGAGAATCATGTCTGGCTTCCACCTATTTTATGGATCTCTTTGGCACTTGGGGATACTTAATTTTCTTGGTTTGAGGAATTCATCTATCAACTTCTAAGGCTTCAGACATCTAGGGTCTGGTGATAGAATGGGGATCAAATAGGTTGGCAGAGAATCCTGGGGCCTTAGATTGCTCCAAAAGAGGGTGGACATCTCCTTCTGGACTGGAAAGTCATTACTAGATCTAGAAAGAGGTTATACTATAACAGAAAGTTTTTTAGCAAACTAATGAAACACAAATGGAATTCACTTAGTTGAGGATCACTGGCCACCTTACGTGTTAAGTAACACGCTATGTGGTTCAGCTTCAGGTATCCCTTATCAGCTGGCTTCAACCTTTAACATAAGGCTTCAATCCCTTTTATATTGCTGTCTTTGCCAACAGTCAGTTCATAGTGATTTTATCTTGGCTTTGTAGATCAGTAAAGAGGGTTTGGTTAGTCTGGTAATAAATGTGTTTAGAATTGATGGGGGAAAGCACTGGAAATTAGACTGCCATTAACTTGCTCGGTGATCTCAGGCAAATCATTTCCTCTTTCTGGTCCTCAGTCTCCTTTTCTGTAAAATGAAAGGGCTATACCAGATGATCCTTTGGTTCCCTACTCCCCAAGAGGCAAGGAATTGAATTGTGAGTCATTAAGTGCTAGTGTAAATGAAAGATGGGTGCCCAGGTTTTTCAGGGGAAACAAAGAGTGTGGAGAGGGCATGACCAAATGGAGCACCTAGTGGAGGAAAGGTTGGGGAAGAGGAAATGGGAAGATAGACTTCATCTTTCTTTTCATCTTCAAAGCACCTAGATCTTGCCTCTTGGGATTGATGACCAAAATCTCTCCAGCCTAAGTGTTGTGTTGCACATTTGTGGCTACATCACAAATTTCAGTGTGACATCCTATCAGAAACCATCGCTTCCTCTTTCCTTCTGCTTTAGTAGCCAAATGTGGGGGAGAAGGATAGGAAAGGGGGAGCTATTTTCTTTTTGACCTTTAATTACACTGATCCACTTCTTAAGTGTCTGCAAAGCCCTTTGCAATGGCCCTCCTGTCTTCCCCTCCTGGCCTCCTTTCGTTCTTCCCCTTTCCTTCTTTTCTGCTTCCTCCTTCTTTACCAACCTCCAAAATGGCTGATAGGGGGTACCCTGATGAGTGCTTTCTGGCTGTGCATATGGAGCTTAAAGCCCTGGAAGATCAGCTACAGAACTGACTGATATTCCCCCTGTATCTGCTCTGGGGCTCCCTCCAACACCCAGGGCCTGTCAGCACTCCTTCTTTGCCCCACAGCCTGGCCCAATGCCTGGTTTTGCATCCAGCTGGGGCCTATTGGGGCAGGATGAGTGAGAGTGGTAGGGTGCTAAACTGCCGACATAGTGATGTAAGTGAGAGAGAGGGCTGGAAGCGGTCAGAAGGAAAATGAGAGCCAAGAATGGCTGGGTAATTAATAGGTAGCGGCGAACAAGAATGGTTATCAGGAAATCAAAATGAGTTCCTCAACAGGGAAACAAAAGAGTTAGGAGGTGGGGATGGTAGAAATAAACCATTGGGAGGAACCCAGAGTAGTAAATTTGAAGTTTGAGTTGTGCATCCTTCCAGAATCAAAGAATCTTAGTTGGTTTTGTGCAGAGGTGTCGAAGACTATAGAACCAGATTAAAATGTAATTGGGAAATATTTTGAAAAATACAATAAAACATAGATAATGGTGATTTGTGGTTTTTTAAGTTAATATGCGGCCTGCAGAGATCCTTACGTATGGTTTAGCAACCCATTTCTATTTCAATTTGATGCCACTGGCTGAGTGGATAGGGCATTAGACGTAGATTTAGAAAGACCTGGGTTCAATTTCTACTTCAGACACTTACTACTTGTGTCACCTCAGGTAAGTCATGGAACCTCTCTGTGCTTCAGTTTCCTCATCTGTAAAATTGGGAGTTGTCCCTTACTGCTCTAAATCTATTATCCCATGATGCCATCTAGTCCAACCTGTACCTGAAGGAGTGGCCTCCCCAGCTTACCTGATGAGTGGTCCTCTAGCCTTTCCTTGAAAACCTCTAGTGAGGTCCTGAGGTAGCCCATTGAACTTTTGGTTATCATAGTTAGAAAGCTGTTGTTAAGAAAAAAAAGAAAGTTGGTGTTGTCATTTTGCACCGAACCTTGATCTAGCTTTCTATAGTTTCCACCCTTTGCTCCTGGTGCTATTCTTTTGGGGCCAAGTAGAATAAACCTTCTTTCACATGATACTCTTTTAAATACTTGAAAGCAGCTATCCTGCTATCTAGAAATCAAATCAAGATTCTTAGAGAATAAGTAAATGAGGTATGTGTGTGTGTGTATGTGTGTGTGTGTGTGTGTGCATGCAGGTAGGGAAGGGGGAACAGTAAATATCATAGAACAGCATCAGCTTTGGCTCTGGGGCTTCGTGTTGACTATATATATATATATCACTCTGCTGACTGCAGAGCATAGGGTTCATTACTTAAAGCTTTAAGCATCTGCTTCCTGCCCATACTAACTATGAAATTTCCAGTGGGCAAATTACTGTGAAATCTTCAGCTCTCTTCAAGCGGCCTTGCTGGACCTTGACTGTTTCCCTATATAGTCTTACACATCTATTGACATAGCCCAACTCACCCAGTAAAGTGTTTTCCTCCTAGGGTGGCCAAACAATTGATTTCTGATCTGGCCTGGTGCTGGTGGAAGCCCCCATGCCAAAAAGCTTAGTACTCTCCCTCATTCTACCCCCTTCTCCAAAACAGAGTGGTGAGGTTAAGTAGCCTGCTGACAAACTGTAGGAACAAACTGCAGGTCCAATGAGAAGGTCTGTTCTCTAGTGGTACGGAGGATCCCTGAGAGTCAGTAACGAGAATGATTCGCTGCAAATTAACTGCTAAACCTGAACACAATAACAAATGAATCTTAGCTTCTGGCACCAAGGGCCAAATGAATAAAAATTAAAGAAGCCAAAGACCCCATAGTTGAGTTATAGAAAAGGAACCCTGTTGTTTGGTATTTTAAAGGATTCCAACATTAAGCTGCAATTCAAAACTATGGCCAATATTATTGGTGTGAAATGCAGTGAGTATTGTGTATGGTGTCAGGATGGAACACTGACTATCAAGTTTAGACCCTCTCACCACCAGTAATTTTGATATTATTGTATCATAAACATATTTTCAGAAGGGGGAGAATGTCTGTGGAAATGGAGATGCCTAATGAGAGAACACTCATGTAAATGTACTTTGTCCTCAGTGCAGTTCTCTGATTTACCCGTCAGCTGAGAAAGTATCATCTATAATAGACTGACCTGTTAACTTCTCTGTATGACAGGGATCTCCATTTCATCAGAACTTGGGTCTGAAAAATAGGGTCTTTCAGCTAGAAAGGACTTTAGAGGTAATCAAATCTAGTCACTTTTTTAATATGAAAAGAAATGGAGGCACGTAGAATTGAATGAATGTAACCCCAAGTTTGCACTGCTAAGACTAGAACTTAAGTCTTAAGTCCCAGCTCAGGAGATCTGATGGAATGGACCCAAGACACCCAATTGAATTTACATCAAAATGCCTAGCCTTTACAAAACAAGATGGGATTTTATAAAAGCACAAAGAATTCCAGAACATTATCGAGAAAACTGCTCCACACAGAAGTATTGGTTGGCACAATTACTCCTTGGGCTCATAGGGGAGACAGGGGTTAAAAGAGACCATGAGTGTTATTATGTACCTAACCTAAGCCACTGGCAAGCCAGCTTCAAAAGGGTGAATAAGTGAAGCTACAGAACAGAAAATGGAAGGAACACCATTAGTTCCTTAATATATCTTAGTCAAGAGATGGTTGTCAGAGAAACTTGGAGCAGAACTTTCTCCCAGTTTACTATTTCCTTTCTAATTTTCATTGCATTAGTTTTGTTTGGGCAAAAATATATTAATTTTAAACAATCAAAATTGTCTATTTTTTCTTCTGAGACCCTCTCTATTCCTTGGTTGGTCATAAACTCTTCCCTTATTCATAGATCTGAAAGGAAATATTTTCCTTGCTTCTCTAAGTTGCTTATGATATCATCTTTTGTGTCTAAGTCATGTATCCATTTAGAGCTTATCTTGGCATGCAGTGTGAAATGCTGGTCTATAACTTATTTCTGCCAAATAGTTTGTCAGTTTTTCCTTTAGTTTTTGTCATATAGTGAATCCTTATCCCAGTAATCAGTCTTTGGGTTTATTGAACACTATGCTATTGTATACTTTTGCTTCTGTTTTTTGTCTAATCTGTTTCACTAACTGACCTTGCTAATTTTTTTTAACCAGTACCAAGTCTTTTTTAATGATATTGATTGCTTTGTAGTACATATCAGATATTGAGAACCTTCCCTTTCCCCAACTTTTTTCATTACTTCCTTTGAGAGTCTTGATTATTTTTTGTAACTCTGTATGCTTTTGTTAATATTTTTTCTAGTTTAATAAAACATTCTTTGTTAGTTTGATTGATATGGTACCAAATAAGTAAATTAATTTAGTTTTATTATATAGTCTTGACCTACCCATGCTTAACTGATATTTCTCCAGTTATTTAAGTTTGTCTTTATTTCTGAAAAGTGTTGTATAGTTGGATTAATATATTTCCTTTGTGTGTGTGTTTATGAAAGCAGCTTCTGTAGTTATTTTGAATGGAGTTTCTCTTTTAATCTCTCTCTCTGATGGGTTTTGGTGGTGATACGTAAGAATGCTGATGATTTATGTGGGTTTATTTTATGTACTGTAACTTTGTTGAATTTATTGTTTCAGCTAAATTTTAGTTGACTTTCTAGTGTTTTCTAAGACTCAAAGTCCCTTGCATAGGACTCTCATCATTGGTGAAGACTGATTACGCAATGATCTGCACCTTCGTGGGGGGAAAGGGTAAAATTGGTGAGAGTTGGAGAGAAGAAAGATCTTGGTCTTCTGGTTTTGAGAGAGAAATCACTGGGTTCCAGACTTTCTTCAGGGAGAGGTCTCTAAAGGGAGATACAGATCCTGGGAAGAAGCCAACATGTAGGGGAGATAGCACCTCAATCATGTACCTGTTCCCAGCTAACTAGACTAGAAATTTCAGGAAATTTTCCCGTGAGTAAGATCTGGGACTTTCTCTCAGTTGAGCTGAGATATCTTACTCTCAGAAGGTAAACTCATTCGCTCTTTGTATTTTCTGGTATAGTCTTATCTGTATACCTTCTCTAATTTTGGTTTTGCTATTTGCTTGGATAAATGTGTTTATTTGCAAATCACTTCTGTGAGGTCTTTGTAGAACTGGCATTTAGTGGGAAGGGAGACAAACCTTAGCTATATAGCTTGGGGCACTCTTTTCCTGCTAAGGAATAGAGTTCAGGAGGGCAGCTTGAACCTAAAAATATTTCTCTAGGCTAACAATATTTAGTGGGGTCTTATATGTGTGCATGTATATAGATGTACATATATAGTATATATATATACACATATGTGTGTGATGTGTGTGTATATATACATATGTATATATGTGTGTGTGTGTGTGTGTGTGTGTGTGTGTGTATATATATATATATATGTATATGTGTATATATAATCTTATCTGATAGCTTTTCTCTGAGGAAATCAGAGTGGCCAGCATCTGATGCCAATCTCCTGCTTCCCCTCCTGGTAAGAAGGAAAGTCTCCCTTGCAGAAGAGTGGGCAAATGAGACTAGAGATATCTATTCATGCTTTCTGGTGAGCCACATTTAGACAGAACCACACATAACTACATGGGCAACAACCCACATCCCCTTATATAAGTAAATCATTATGCAATCTATAGAAATGAGCAATTTTGTTCCTTTTCCTCCCATCCTTATTCCATTTCTTTCTCTTTTTTATTGACATAGCATTTCCAGCACTATATTAAACAGTAGCAGTAATAACTAATATCCTTACTTTCCTCCTTATCTTACTGGAAAGATCTCATTCTGAAATTATATATGTTATTAACATGGTTAGTGTTTATAATTTTCTTATATGTAACCAACCCTGCAATTCTGACATAAATCCAACCTGGCAATAGTGTATAGTCTTTCTAATATATTATTGTAGCCTACTTACCAATATTTTATTTTAAAATTTTGTATCAATGTTTATTAATGATATTAGTCTATAGTTTAGTTTCTCTGCTTAGTCTCTCCCTGGTTAAGAAATCAAGGCCATATTTATATCATGTAAAGAACTTGGAAAGGTACTTTCTTTTCCTATTTTTACAAATAATTTATCTAATATTGGAATAAATTGTTCTTTGAATGTTTGACAGAATGCACTTGTAAAACTATACAGTCCTGCAGTCTTTTTTTTTTCTTTTCATTTATGGCTTGTTCAGTTTCTTTTTCTGATAATGGATTATTTAAATAATTCATTTTTTCTTTTTTTAATAGGGCATTTTGTATTGTTTGCCTTTACCCATTTCTTCTAAATCACCAGCTCTTTGCATATAATTGGGTAAAACAGTTTCTGATAATTAAAAACAAATTTCTTCTTCAATTTTTGTGAGTTCTCCTTTTTCTTTTTGATACAGAGAATTTGGTTCTCCTCTCTCTTTTAGACATCAGATTAGTTCACTGTTTATTTTATTGTTCTGAAAAACTAGATTCATCAATTCAATGTTTGTTTTCGCTTTCAATTTTATTATTCTCATATTTGATTTCCAGAATTTCCATTTGTTGTTGAATTGAGGATTTTTGATTTGTTGTTTAAATTTTTAAAAATCATGTACCCAATTCATTGATTTATTCTTTGTTGATGAAAGCATTTAGAGATCTACATTTTCCTCTGAGGACTGCATCAGTGCATCTCATAAGTTTTGGTATGTTGTCTCACTATCATTTTCTTTGGTGAAATGTCCTGTTTTCTATAATTTATTCTATCAACAACCAGTTCTTTAAAATGGAATTACTTTGTTTCCAATTACTTTCAAGTCCTTTCTTCAAAAGTCTTTTATTTATATAATTTTTGTTTCAATGTGATCAGTAGGTCATGTGGTTAGTATTTATGCTTTTATGCATTTCTGTGACTTTTTTTTTGTCCTAGAACATTGTCAGTTTTTCTTAAAGGTGTATAAACAGCTAAGCAG